TGTGTCTATAGTGGTACAGGGTCCATGTGTCTAGATTGGTACACAGTCACTGTGTCTATAGTGGAACAGGGTCCATGTGTCTAGATTGGTACACAGTCAATGTGTCTATAGTGGTACAGGGTCCATGTGTCTATAGTGGTACAGGGTCCATATGTCTACAATGGTACAGGGTTCATGTGTCTAGATTGGTACACAGTCAATGTGTCTATAGTGGCACAGGGTCCATGTGTTCAGATTGGTACACAGTCACTGTGTCTATAGTGGTACAGGGTCCATGTGTCTAGATTGATACACAGTCAATGTGTCTAGTGTGATATAAATCTCAATTGTCAAAAGTGGTATACTGTTTAAGTGTTAATAGTATTTGAGTGTCTCGCGCGTCTTATACAGAAGATGGTTCATGTGTCTACAGTAGATGAGGGTCCATGTGTCTACAGTAGATGAGGGCATATGTGTCTACAGTAGATGAGGGTCCATGTGTCTACATTAGATGAGGGTCCATGTGTCTACAGTAGATGAGGGTCCATGTGTCTACAGTAGATGATGGCATATGTGTCTACAGTAGATGAGGGTCCATGTGTCTACAGTAGATGAGTGCCCAGGTGTCTACAGTAGATGAGGGCCCATGTGTTTACAGTAAATGAGGGTCCATGTGTCTACAGTAGATGAGTGCCCATGTGTCTACAGTAGAGGAGGGCCCATGTGTCTACAGTAGATGAGGGCCCATGTGTCTACAGTAGATGAGGGCCCATGTGTTTACAGTAGATGAAGGCCCATGTTTCTACAGTAAATGAGGGTCCATGTGTCTACAGTAGATGAGGGCCCATGTGTCTACAGTAGATGAGAGCCCATGTGTCCACAGTAGATGAGGGCCCATGTGTCTACAGTAGATGAGGGCCCATGCGTCTACAGTAGATGAGGGCCTATGTGTCTAAAGAAGATGAGGGCCCATATGTCTACAGTAGATGAAGGCCCATGCGTCTCCGGTTTCTGTCCTGGTATTCTCTACACAGCAGTGGAGGACCTCTGTTAGGCCCAAGATCAGACACTTGTAGCAACAGTTGTTCAATATGGTTTTAATTATACCATTACTTTGATGTTGCCTTAAAAACCTACATCAAATGTTATTTGCACCTGGCCTTCACTGTGTGAGCTCTTCATCAAGACACAACATGGAAAGTCATAAACAAGTTTATAAAGTAACATCTGAGGTTTAGCTGCTATAACATCTTGTTCTAGGCCTATGAAGTCTGAGGTTATCTCTGATGAGGAGAATACTTATTCTCAACCAGACTTTGCCTTTAATAACTTTAACACGTTTTCCTATGTTAACTTAAGTCCTCACCCATTTTTCAGATTGTTTGCAACAGTAAAACCATTATTATTTTATTACAATTTTGTCACTGTAATCAATACACCATTGATAGCTTGTTCAGAAATAAGTCAGTGAGTCTGACAGACAGAATCACTGATTTTGTTTTTAAACAAGGAGTAAATTATATACAGTATATTGTACATATAGAATCTTTTCACTGGAAAGGTTCAACAACACGAAATAAATATTTCTCACCAATTGTTTCCTCATACAAATGTTAACTGCCTCATTCCTACATGAATTTGGGAGTTGAAACAGCATTATTTTTACTGAAAACTGGGAAGACATACATTATAATTTTTTTCACTACGGGAAAATAAAGCACTTTTTTCGGGGGAAAACAGTCTGTATTTGGCTGTAGCATTAGAAAAATAGTCACTGCTAACACACACACTAACCAGAATATCTTATTCGAAACTGTGATCCCCCCCCCCCTCCCCCCGAGATGATTAACCCCCACAAAATCAAAGCTATTACAGTAAATATGTACATATTAAAAAGCCCAAAAGACATAATTGTGAGAGTATTTCTCATTATACCGTTGCACACCGAGGAGGAAATGAAAGAGATATTGCCTATACAAACATATGGCAGTGATTTGTTTTAGCATTGCACTATACTAGATGGGTACTGTATCCCAAGCACGGAGTCATCTGTGTGTGTACTCATTATGATCACAAGGGTACTACTATACATGAAAACATGTACATCAAAAGCATTTCTGCACGACTGTTTTGAAGTGGTTGGCTCTCAGCATCATGTGGGATGACCCTGAGCCTGTGTGCATTATGACTGCCTTAGTAATTTTCTGCTTGCCTGATCAGAGGTTTCGCAGTGTCTGTAGCCAAAGTTAATGGGATAAAGAAGTAACTTTGTGTATTTCTCTCTCCATAACCTCGACACGTATCAGAGGGATAAATATGTAACTTTGTTCACACCCTCCACCCACTACAAAAGTAACTGGGATAAACTAAGAACCCATTTTACTCCCTACACCCACTACAAAAGTTACCGAGGTAAGGGAGAACCTTATTCATTCCCTACACCAAGACACAAGTTATTGTGATAAGAAATTAATAACCTTGTTCACTCTGTACATCCAGGACACTAGTTATTGAGATAAAGAAAGAAACTTTATCACTGCCAACATTCCTGACAAAATTGCTTCTATAAAGAAGGAAACTTGTTCAGTCTATACATCCCAACACAAGTTGCAGGGATAAAGACAGAACCTTGTTCACTCCCTACACCTCTAACATGTAAGAATAAAGAGGCTTTGATATGAATTTATTACACTAAATATGGCAAAAACCACTGGTCCCATCAGTCACTATAAAATTGTGAAATATTAATAACCCCATGAAGTTTGCTGACCTCTATACAGTAACATTTTTCTTTTTTGAGATCAATGACACAGAATTCGTCCTTTCTATCAATAGATAATGAGGTAAAGAAAGATTAACAAGCATTCATTACTTTTTTTTGAAACCATAATGGCAAGTTTTTGTATAGGTAATACTGCAAGCCTAACAGCCAATGTTGGGAGTCCAACCCAGGCCAATGCTAAACACTTGAGTTTTTGTAAAGGTAAATACTGGCCTTTCAGCCTACAAAGGATGGTTTATGTGACTTACCTGTGTCTGTAGTCGTGCACATTGGTACACCTGTGTTCACCGTGGAAGGCGTTGGCTGGGTACTCAGTATGGATACCATCGACAGATATGAAGTACTGCCACTTTAAGCTGTCAAAGTACTGCATATTGCTCTTCCATACTGCAACAAAACAATGATCTCACATGAAAATCACATTATAGATTTTCAATATAAAGTGACGGTAGGGATATATTTCCTTCTGTATTCCACATTTCACCAGAAGTCATAACAACATACATGTATACATAAGTATTGTGTATGTGTGTGACCTTTGGCCTTTTAAGTAAAACAAACCCAAATGCAATTATCTCAAAAATCATTAATGTTTAAAAATTTGAAGCACAGTAGTCATTCATTCTACTCAAGATCTTCTCTACCTAGGCTCTGGGTGAAAAGCAGTAGCTATATGACCTTGACAGATGACCTTCAAAGCCTGATTAACCTTGACCAACAACCTCTGAAACCTAATTAACCTTAACTGACAACCTCCAAAACCTTGCAAGTCTTTGTACGGATAACACTGAAGAAAGCAGTCTTCCCTATAAAACGGTAACTAATTTCTAGATATTAGCCTCTAGAACTAGGGACTGCTGATTGTTATTTACAAACACAGTTTTTATCAAATGTGTATCCTCAATCACAGATCTACATATGATTTTTTTAATAAAAATAATCTTATGACAAAAGAACAGTATCTTGCATAGGGAGTCTTTTATCCCAACTTTCTTTCTAAAGAATCAAACAAGGAGCTTGGTATGCAAAAAAACTTCCAAAAAAGACTGGGGCAATGCGATTATAAGATTGGCAAACGTGTACACTATCAAGTCAATAACTGCAGCCCAAAAACAAAGGGAGGCTGCCAGCTGAATGAAGTCTTTGGAAAGAACAGAAACAGCACAATTATATTTCTGATGTTATTACGCGAATGTGGAGCATTAACAGCGAACCTCTTACTGCTTGTGAACATAATGCGGAGCACTGGATGACATCGGGATCGTGATGTGTGTACAGACTACAGAATATAGGGAACTTCAGAGCGGGGCCCCGTATCATTGATTATCTACCCATTAAAACACCCAGCATATATTCACCAATGTATGCCATATATTGGTACAAAGTACTTGAGGAGGGCTGTACGGGGCAGGCCTGTAGGATCACTCCTCCGTGATGTGTAGGCTATAACACAGAACCTCATCACCAGAATTGAGGATTTACTTGAAGAGTGATGATAAAAAAATGATATGCAGAGGCTCCCCAACAAGTGGCGTTGGTTATCTTGTTTTTTAAACTTTCAGAAGAGACAATATCTTGTTTAGCCTATAACCTTTAGAATCCAAACTTTAAAAAGATCTATTTAATGAATGTCTTGGAAACTCTATAAAAATCTTTTTGTATTGTATCTTCAGATCATCATCTCCTATCTTTCTTTGTACACGACACTTTAATTATGACTCAATATTTTTTAATACACTTAATGAAAATTAGTTTCATTCTGTCATGAAAATGAAATAGGCCTAAAATCAACATTTGATCTACCAAATCAAGTTACTGTGTCTTTAGCACTTTTCATAGAACAATAATGTTCTGAACAAAATAAAGAGAGACAATAATATGAAATGCCTTGGCATGGATTGAAATATCAAAATGCTGGTGTGAAGATTTGCTTAACTCATTCATTCCTGAAATTTCACAATAGACTATTCCAACCTTTGAATTGGAAGGGTTCAAATGTGTCTTCAGGGGTGAATGAGTTAAAACAATACAATTCAGTAATGGCTACATAAACCTTGGAGTCTAAAATGAGCTGACTGACTCTATTATCACGGGACATCACTGGGGGTGTACAGGGAAGGCAATGATTAACACTAGGACTTGTAATGAACTAACTTATAGAAATGATAATGCTGCTGTATGTTAACTTACAATTGGAATACTCCCTAGGGGATGATGTGTTAGAATCAGAGAGGTGAGCTGGGAAAGGGTAACGACGGACATCTATCTATTTAGATTGTCAATAATCAACATCTAAATAGAGACAAATGTGTACTTCATTATCCTTTATTTTTTGTATGTAGCTCGGAGTCCCTGGCTAAGTTTGATGAGCAATACATCAAAATTTGTTAATTTGGTGATCCAGGTACCCTGTTGGGTGCCCCAGAGTTGGATGTCTATATCCCAGTATCCATCTTTATCATACAAAGTACTCATCTAGGCCAGCTTGAGCTGGCACCACACAACATACTCACAAATATTATTGGGCAGAGAAAAACTGAAGCATGCTAAATGGTCCCTTTCCTATTGAATTTTCTGTGGTAATGAAAGGCTCCGAGGAAGGATGGGGGCCATTAACTATGGCTGAATAGGGGCAGCCATAAAGAGAAATCTGATGTTCACTCGCCAAACCAAGTCCCCCAACCAGCACTTTACTCCAACAGGGGGAGGAAATCTATATTGTGATATAGGCCTGCAGTGGTTCCCAGGTTTAATCATAAGTCATAAAAGGGCAATAAACGGAAGCCAGCCGAGTTTGAACTCAGGAGGAGTAAAATACACCTGACAGCTAGTTCATCATGTACAAACTATATACCTCCAAATACCTCTAGTCTAGTATCTGAAAACCTCTCATACACAATCACTGAAAATGTTCACATATTAAACAGAAAAACCATCCAAAGGGTAGGCCTCCAACAGAATAATGTATTTACCTATAGTTTGAACATTCAACATAACTCATTTGTATTGAAATTAAAAAATAAATAAACCAAGAACGCACATCTAAAATCTTCAAAACTAATTAATATAGAATTTAACCTCTACCTCCAAAACTATTTACATCAGAAATTAAATATTTCCCTGTAAACATTGAACATACAGATCTCACATCATTACGTATTCATTAAAAAAAACTACTTTCATCTCATAAATCTTGCAGGTAATTTTTTTTTAATTTCCTTTGAACATGTAACACGACACATGCAAAAATATATATACATATTCATCTCTCAATATTTAGCATTCATCTCAAAAAACGCCTGTGGCTCTTTATCCGGTCATGACAGAAAAACTCAATCTAAAAGCTACCAGTACACAACTCAATTAGTTACAAATAAATTAACAACTACCACCACAAAACTCAATCTAAAAGCTACCAGTACACAACTCAATAAGTTACAAATAAATTAACAACTACCACCACAAAACTCAACCTAACAGCTACCACTACACAACTCAATTAGTTACAAATAAATTAACAACTACCAACACAAAACTCAATCTAACAGCTATCAACACCGAACCAAACCTAACAGCTGTTATTAAAGTCTTTATTTACATCTAGCACATGAAGATCTGCCTCATAAAATTCCGTTTTTCTCAAGTGTTTTTTAGGAGAAAACTTGTTGCCTTATTTTGTGATGTCTGCACACATAAAAGCAGCCTAAGGAGTCCATCACACTGGTTTTCACATAGACTGTCCCTTTTGATTTTTTATCTAATGAGAAAATTATGGATATACATCCTGTGTTGCCATTCTGACCGACTGCAGGCAAATATTATTTATGTGTTATAAATTGGTTTTTGAAGTCCGACTATCAAACGCCCTTCAAAGGTTCAGCCTCTGAGTTGAATGCTTTTCATCTGCTTCATTAATCTCCAGCAAACATTAGGACTAGCCTGGAAATTGAATGTTCCTGAGAGATAGTTGCTAACTTGATGTTATGTATCTTCCAACAAGTACTGCAGGATCAATAACTCCAATGTACATAACATTATGGAGGAGACCAATTCATGTCGTACAGATTCTAAGTAACACCCCATCTCTCAATCAATTTCTCCCGAGACTTTTTTGTAAGACAAACTGAGTTGGAGGACAAGGCAGTATTAATTACTCTCATGCATTCCGGTGCATGTATGTCAGAACTGTCCAGGGTAAGAAAGGGGTGTAAGGAAATGCTATTTTACACCTCATTTCACAGTGGATAACCCACTCACCTTTCACCAAGGAAGCTAGACTGGCCCCCGTCTCTAGAATATTGAATTAATAAGAAAAAAATTGAACTCTTATAATTTTGATCATTCCTAAGTTCTAAACTAGGGGGAGATAAGCTAGTAGTAAAATGCAGCCAGAAATTCTTCATAAAAATTCTATAATGACCAACTGTTTTCAATTTGAACAATGTCATATAACTAAGAATACATACTACATAAAAACAGTTTCGTCCCAAACCCTGTATGACATAACAACCTTAAGAGGCACTAATCGATAAAAGCTAAAATTCTACAAAAAGATGTAACCCAGCTCCGACAGATTATCCCATATGTATTTCACCTGTGTCTTTATGAGTTGTGATGTTTTGCTTCGCGCGATGGCTTCATTTATGTGGTCGGAAAAGATTATTCAATTGCACAATTACCGTTACAGGAGAAAATTAAAGTGGATTTACTAAAAACCTTTGGGAGGCCTAAAGAACTTTACCACCTATACCTATCTAGGTCTGTTCTAGTTCTTCACTGATTTACTCTGGTACAGCCTTTAGCTAAAGTCCCCTTAGCTAAAAAGCAAAACATAATTTAATATATGCTATGAACACACATTTGTTCCATGACAAATTCATTTATAATTCCACCCATATGCATTAGGGACATTATTTACAGTAGTTATAAAGTACGAAAATGCACAGAAAGTGGATCTGAAAGTGTCAACTAGCCCCAAAGATTTGGGTAAAAATCATACCATTCTTTCAAGATTTACCAAGGTATTACATGGAAATCAATTGACCTTTTATAAAATCCAAGATGGCTGCTGACAGCCTTAGCTTGCTGATCTTCAGATTTGGTTCAAAATCAAACTTGAGCAGGTAATTGATACTATAGGCTTGTGGTGAAAGATTCATGAAAATCAAAGCATATATTCAAGAGTGATCACACGGAAATCATTTGTGTGCACAGCGAAACCGCCACCAACGCCAACAGAGTGATCCCTACATGTAGATCACTCTTGCTTCACAGGCGACACAATAAATCAGAAGCCTTTTTTTGATAAAGGAAAATTTTTTATCCTCTATTTATACCCCCCCCCCCCCCTTTTTTTTTACAACAACCAAAACAAAAACAACTACACA